TGTTATGACTCTCGTATCAGAAGCTTAGAACACGCTCATGTCTCCCCAAACCTTTCATTGCTTACTCCTAAGAAACCAGATTAGTCTAGATATACAAAAGCAAGAACAACTAAAAAGTGGGTTACTGCTATGCTTCTGATGTCAAGAAAGGCAGAAAACCCTGGATTTCTAACAGTTGCAGAATTTTACTATAAAATTCTACACTAACGTTCAAGACTAATAGTTCCCGGGAGGGCCAATAGTGCTAGAAATCAGTGACTTATCAGTGACTTATGGGAGGCAGAAGAGTAAGAAATGTTATTTCTGTAGCAATCTTTCTGAGCTGACTAAAGAACACCACAGACAAGTTTTGAAAGCAACACAATTGAACCTCTCGGCCTTGAAAGAGTTGGTCTGAGTGGAATGGGCAAAAGACAAATTCTTTGGGGATCTATATACTAAAGGAATCTGCCTTGAGGAAGCAGATGCAATTCTCTTACTGCAGCAAAATCTTGCGGCACACCAGGAATTAATTTACACTTAGTGAAAGTGGTCTCCAGCCTCAGTCAAAGGAAGGATAAGACACACAAGATGTCTAGCAACAAGAACAACCCCTTATAAAACCAATTTGTGTCAGTTACAAAGACCCAAAGACAGCATCACCCACATTTCACAGAACTCAGAACACTGCAACAGAAATTCACCCAGCTTCCTTGGTCTTATATTTCATCGCTCACTGTGGGGACAAAACCAAATGACTTCCCTTCCATTTACCCATAGACAAACTAAAGAAATTCTAACTTATTTTAGAGGGCTATTGGGGCAGTTGGTTAAATATCTTATCATGCTTTAGGATGTCCAGATAAAGGTAGCTGGAAAAGAATAAAGTATTATTCTTTTCCACACACGACCTGATTCTAAACAGGACTGAGAATTTGTTAATGTATTTGCATTTCATTTTAGTGAAAGGTTTTCTTTGTCAAAGCAGAAGAAAAATGCAGTTAAGTGGAACACTTGTAATCCCCTCCCCATGTAATTGCTAGGAAAGACATTTAGACAGACATAAAAAGACAAGTGAGACCAAGCAAGGGCAACTATAATATGACAGGTAAGTGGAACAAAAAATTTACAGGAACAAGAAGAGATGGAAGCCTTTCTCCTGAAGTTATTCAATTCCCTGTGTATTAACCATGCCAGATGGCTAGTGTGGCTGCCTCAGTTTCAGAAATGGTAGGCTGGCTTCATAGCAACCCACACAGACACTGACTGCAGTCCCAATGAACCAAAAGAAACATGAGAAAAACCAAAATCAATCAAACAAAAATCCATGAAATAAGGAGGATCTGGGGAACTACAAACTCATCAGCCTTACTAAAACCCCTGGTAAGATTATGGAGCAAACTTTCATGACAGCCATTTCCAGACAGAAGGTGGTTGGGAACAGCCAGCATGGATTTACTGGAGGCAAGTTTTGTCTAACCAGCCTTATTGCATGCTACAGTGACATGCCCAGACAAGGGGAGAGCAGGGGATGCTGTTTACCCTGGCTTTAGCAAAGTTTTCCAGTTGGTCTCCTGCAGCATCACTGGAGCCAAACTGGGGGCTCATGGATTTTATGGGTAAACTAAAAGGGTGAGCAAAGGCTGGCTGGGCCACCAGGCTTAAAGAACAGTGATTTGATGGTTCAAAGTCTAACCAGTGGCTGTTATGAGCTGCGTTCCTCACATTGATACTGGGGCCAAGACTGATAACTACATCTACATCAACAACCTGGACGATAGGATGTTCATCCTTATCACACACACAGGGAACGCTAAATTAGGGCAGCAGTGGATATGCTGGAAGCTACTGCTGCCACTGAAAGGCACCTTGACAACCGAAGGAATGGGCCAACAAGAACCTCAGGAAGTTCAACAGCGATAATGCTGCACCTGGGGCAAAATAACCTCATGCAACAGTATGGCTTGAGGACCTGAAGACCAGGGAGCAGCTCTAAATCAAAGGGCCAGGGGGTCTTGGGAGGACAAATTGAACACGAGTCAGTAGTGCACCCTTGCAGCAATAAAGGCTGACTATACATTGGCCTATATTAGTAAGAGCTACCTAAAGGGGCATTATAGAGAAGGTGGAGCCAGATTCTTCTCAGAGGTGCATAGCAAGATTATGAGAGGCAACAGTCACAAATTACAGCAAGGCAAATTTTGATTAGATATAAGGTGGGGGAAAAAAAAAAATCACGAGAAGAGTGACCAAACACTGGAACAGGTGCCCAGAGAGGCTGTGTAATCTCTGTCCTTGGAGATTTCCAAAACTCACCCATACAAAGCTCTGAGCAACCTGATCTAACGTTCAGCTTAACCCTGCTTTAAGCAGGGAGTTGGACTAGACCTCTGGAGGCCCCTTCCAACCTAACACCTTTCTGTGATTCCACCAGGTGACCTGCAAACCTAAGATCCATTTCAGTTTTTGAAATAACCTGCCTAATGAAATTACTCTGCACCTTGAATAGGACAAGAGGTTCTTATTCACTTATCATACTCAGTGTTCTACACCAGCAAGTAGATGCCACATTTCAGTCCTGAAATGACTGTATTTCAGTCATTTACCTAATTTTCATGATATATGTTGAGGAAAAATAGATGCTACAGAAATATAAAATCTCTATCAAAGACAACAGGAATCCATTCTCATGAGGGATGGTCTGGATGATCAGAGACTGTGAAACAACTGGCCCTTCTGTTCTCACCTTCATATATATTGCCACATCCCATCCTTTAGCAGACTCGTTTGTCCTCCTGCACTTAAAAAAACATTGAATTGCACTTAGGCAAACCAAAATATCTTTTTCAGGCAGGGCAAGGAGGATAAGATGGAAGATGCCTGAATCCAAAGCAACAAAGTTGTGTTTAATTTTTCTTGAAATCAGAAATACCTACCTGGATACCCATTGAGGCCATAGGCTTTCCACTGGCTAACTGGCTGTAATCCTGCTCTGCAGGCATCTTGATCACTGACTGAAGAAATACTGAGCTGTGATCTGAACACCTGGCAAAAGAAAACAGATCTGGTTAAAGAAAAAAAAGGAAGAAATATGAAACTCATCCAAAAATAGCACCTATAAGAAGGAGTGCTACCGTATTCCAAGGTAAGTCTCGTGAAAACGCCAACTGTACCACAGAACTATTGTCTAAGCAACTGTGACCAGAACAGGGCATGCTGCTAACAGAGCTAGTATGTACTCAACACAAGAATCGAAAGGTACCTACAGTTTTTACAACACTTAGGGTTCAGGAGAGATGTCCTCCATTCATTCAAAAAACCAAACAATTTATACCAATGAGAAAAAATTCGGCACTATTCATCCATTTCCACAGTACAGCCTCATCATTATAAAACATTCTGGTAATTATCAATCTCTGTTAGAGAGCAATATTTAGTACCCATAACACTTTATACCTTCAAAGAATGTTCCAAATACAAGTTGCTCATGATCCCATAGGGTAGATGACTATTCTCATCTGTAATTTACAGAAGGAGAAGTAGTATAGTGATGAAGTGGCCAAAGTTGCTTGATGTGAAGGACTGCAGAAACCCTGTAAATTCTGAATACCACATTGCCACTTCTGTTTCCAACAGCAAGGTCAACAGCTCAGGGCTTAGCAAGATATATTTTCTTGATGTACTCTCTTGGGTCGCAATAACACATATATTTAAGCTGCAGTAAGCCAACACTTGCTGAAAAAACCAAACTCATCCACTGTGTTGCCACTCCCTTCTTCCCTTAGGACTGGGAACCGTCTTAGGGGGGGCAGGGTAGAGGCAGGTTGGTTTTGTTCTAGCTTAGCTCCCCTGTCCAGCTCTCTGTGTGGCTGTGCAAAAGTACAGGCTCATATAAGGGAAGAGCTGGCCAGGCATAGTGGGAATAAGCAGGCAGAGACAGGCAAGACTTTGTTTATGACAATTTAAAGTGTCTATGAAATTAAGGCTTTTGCACGCAGACTCTGCAGTGGTGAATGTGGAAATCAGTTTCTCTGCAAGGCTGACAGCTCTGGTTAATGTATTCTGAACAACGGGTCTAAATTATGTACACAGAACTTGTAAGAAAACTCTAAACTAGTGCTGGGCAGCAGCTTCTGGCAACGTGCTCACTTTTACCAATTTTTCAGCTCTCTGCCTAAAGCAGCTTTGTGACTGCCAGCCTTGAAGAGCTTAGTTCAGAGTCCTGTCTGCAGAACGTCCCCAGGAAGGCTCCTCCTTTGACTAGAGACTGCCACCCCTCTGCCTTCTCAAACTGCTTACACACTGGCCGCTGTCAAGGCTTCTGGAGAACAGGAGCTGTTTCTATGCTGAAGAATTGCATGTGCTGAATCAGTTAAATAAGCCTGGTAGCAGGGCAGCTGGGGTTCTTCACACTTCACTGAAGAACTCAATCACTTGAAGCAGTTTTCTGAGAGAAAAGGAACAATAGTATCTGGGCCAATCTGCCTGGCCTGTAGCTCTTCTTAAAGAGAAAAAGCAGATGTTTTTAACCTGGGGTAAAGAGGAATAAAAGATGCTTTCACTAGTAAGTTATCAACTGATCTTAGAAGGTAACAGGCACAAAGAGAATGATATGGAGAGAGGACAGATGCTCATGATGCTTTCAAGTACTTTGAATTTCCCAGAAGGGCTGTAATTCTGGAATCCTTTATTTGATAAAGGATTGCTGCAAGCTCAAGAAAGGCTGAAATGTTAACAACTCCCTTGTTTAATGCTAACGCCTTGAACAATTTCACATGGGTCAGGTTTTGTGTCCCATTAACAATATCAAAATTATAGTCTGAAAAGATAGAAAAATATATATTCTAATAAAACAGTAAAAAGAAAAGGCTAAGCATTTGAACTATGAAAAATTAGGCAAAGTTTCATTTTAACTGTATTTCCTACTCCCTTTTTTCATATAGGCTCATACATAGAAAATCCCTGCTTACCAATACTTCAGCAGATATCCGTTATCCTTTTGTGAGGTGACAAAATGGAAGATGAATTCAAGGGATCAATTCTCCATCACTCAAGACATGGTAAACTACTAACCATGATGGCTAATACTTTCACATGTGCTCCTGACTCTGTGCCCCTAATCCACTGCAATAGTTGGACTTGTCCTGATGGCTAAGCCAAATGTTTATTATATGGGAGTAAGAAAGGAGAAGAAACTTTACCAACGGGAAGACAAGAACCCTGGGCACACACTGCACAGTGGAGGGAAACTGATCCCGGCTCCCTCTCCAGCTCACCCAGGTATTTAGGGCTAAGACAAGGACCAGTAGGCCCCAAAAACAGTGTCAGCTCCAATAGTGAAACTTGCTTTTTTCCATCCACATGTTCCTTTGCTTCACTTAAGTAAAGTGTGGTTCTATTACAGGCTTTGGAGATCCCTTACTGCAGTGTAGGGAGCTAATTAAACATTATAGGGAGTAAATAAACATAAGCAAAAGTGGTAAATCTGTGAATAGGCGGCGCGCTGGCCGGGGCGGCTGGGACAGCACCTTGTGCCCTCGGGCAGCCGGCCCAAGGGGCCCCTGGGCGAGCCTGCCTCTGGGCCCCGGGGGAGGAGG